ATGCATAATCAGTCTGTAATTGCCTTACTTTATGTTAAATAAATACCCTGCTACTCACACATATTCGCACTGCTGCTCAAGGGCTGTGTTCCTTCATAGAAAGGAAGACTGAGGTGATCCGAATGTGTGCGCTCTTGAACAATTCATAAACACAATTCAAAACAATTTTTACATCTTTGTAGAGTTTTTTCGTTTTTTAAATAATATTTTATATATAACTATCAGTATTTATGTTTGTTGATTTATATATATTTTCTGAATACAGTTTGTGTTAAATATGGCAGAAAAGAAAAGAAATCTTGATCATCGCCAGTTTCAAGAAAATTGGACAAAAGAATATGCATTTGTAGAATAAAAAGATCGTGCTGTTTGTGCTTTCTGTTGTGAAGTGTTGTGTGACTCACATCTAGTGTACAAAGACACTTTCAAACTTAACACCAATCTTAGTTTAAAACCTCAGAGGAAAAAAGTAAAGCCATCAAAAAGGCTATTTCTGGTTGCAAAAAAACAAATTGGTATTTTTAGACAAGCAGTTGGAACGAAGAATAGAGCTACTGAATGTAGTTACAAATTAGCTCAATGTGTGGCTTTGAAAGGTAAACCTATAACAGACGGATAATACATCAAAGAAACTTTTTTTGTGCAGTGCTGAAATTTTGCTTGGTGATTTACCAAATAAGGAGATTATACTCTCTCGAATTAGAGACATTCCAGCTTCTGCAAGATCAATTGAAAGGCGCATAACTGATTGGATGAAAATGTAACAACTAAATAAACAATTGGGTTAAAACAATCCCAAGTATTTAGTGTCAATCTTGACGAAACCACTGCTTTAAATAATTTGTCAGGCCTAGCTGTAGTTGCAAGATATCACGAGCATAATCACATTTATGAAGAGTTATGTTGCTTATTATCCCTTCATGATACAACCAAAGCAGAAGACATTTTGACTGCATTTATTAGCTATTTTGCTAAACATGACATCGACTTGAACAGATTATTCTGTGTGACAACCGATGGTGCTGCTGCAATGGTTGGCAAGAAGAAAGGATTTGTAAAACTTCTTGAAAATCATATTGGACGCAAACTATTAAATTTTCATTGTATTATGCATCAGGAGAGCTTATGTGCAAAGGCCTCATCTTTGAATCTGGGCTCTGTGATGACATATGTTGTTAAGATAGTCAACTTTCTTGTTTCTCATTCTTCACTGCTACACAGGCAATTCCAGTCACTTCTACAAGAAATTGAGTGTGAAGAGCACCTGGACTGATTAGGCATCTACTGCAGAGTGGTGAGGGAAACAGCTAAGAAGATTCTAGGTGCTACCTCTGGAAAGAGGGAGGATGAGAAGGATACATGGTGGTGGAACGAAGAGGTTCAGAAAAGCATGAAGTAAAAGAGAATTAAAAAAAAAATCGAGATAGCCGTGGTGATGAAAAAGTAGACAAGAGTATAAGATCTGGAGTAAGATGAAGAGAAAGGGGACAAAGGCTACGAAAAAGCTTATGAAGAGTTGTATGAGAAGTTGGCAACGATGGAAGGAGAAAAGGACTTGTGCCACTTAGCCAGACAGAGGGACCGAGCTGGAAAAGATGTGCAACTAGTTAGGCTTGTAAAGGACGCCAATAGAAATGTACTGTACTGGAAAGTGAGGAGTCTTTAAAAAGTGGAAGGTGTATTTTAAGGAGCTGATGAATGCAGAGAGAGAGAGAGAGAGAGAGAGAGAGAGAGAGAGAGAGAGAGAGAGAGAGAGAGAGAGAGAGAGAGAGAGAGAGAGAGAGAGAGAGAGAGAGAGAGAGAGAGAGAGAGAGAGAGAGAGAGAGAGAGAGAGAGAGAGAGAGAGAGAGAGAGTGAAAATGTGGAGGTAGTGGATCAGGAAGTGCAGAGGATCAATGAGGAGGAAGTGAGGGCAGTGAGGGAGGATGAAGGGAGGAAAAGCAGTTAGATCAGTAGAGGCATGGAGATGTTTGGGATAGATAGCAGTAGAGTATTTAACCAGGTTGTTTAACAAAATCTTGAGAGAGAGAGAGAGAGAGAGAGAGAGAGAGAGAGAGAGAGAGAGAGAGAGAGAGAGAGAGAGAGAGAGAGAGAGAGAGAGAGAGAGAGAGAGAGAGAGAGAGAGAGAGAGAGAGAGAGAGAGAGAGAGACTGAAAATGTGGAGTTAGTGGATCAGGAATTGCAGAGGATCAATGAGGAGAAAGTGAGGGCAGTAATGGAGGATGAAGAGAGGAAAAGCAGTTGGATCAGTGGAGGCATGGAGATGTTTGGAATATATGCCAATAGGGTACTTAACCAGGTTGTTTAACAAAATCTTGGGAGATGAGAGTAGTGGAGAAAACGTGTTCTGGTACCAATTTTTAAGAACGAGGAGATATATAGAAATGTTGTAATTACAGGAGTATAAAGCTGATTAGCCACAGTACGAAGTTATAGGAAAGGGAAATGGAAGCTAGGCTGAGAAGATATGTGAGGCCTTGTGAGCAGCAGTATGGTTTTATGCCTGGAAGGAGCACTACAGCTGCAATTTCTGCATTGAGAATAGTAATGGAAAGTTTAGAGACGGCAAGAAGGAGTTACACTGTGTTTGTTGATTTAGAAATGTGTATGACAGGGTGGCGAGGAGGAGTCCCGGTATTGTAAGAGGAAGTCATTAGTAGCAGAGAAAGATGTGAAGGTGGTGCAAGATATGTATGAGAACAGTGACAGCGGTGATGTGTCCAGCATGATTGATGGATTGGTTCAAAGTAGGGGATAAGATTACACCAAGGCTCAAGCCTGAGCCCTTTCTTGTTTGCAATAGTAGTAGACAGCTTGACAGACGAGATCAGACAGGAGGCACTGTGGACTTTGATGCTTACAGGTAACATTGTGATATATAGCGGGAGTAATGAACAGGTTGAGGTGAGCTTGGAAGGGTGGAAGTATGCACTGGAGAGAAGGGGAATGAAAGTCAGCAGGAGCAAGAGTGTGGTAGAGAGATTAAAAAGCAAATGCAAGAAGGATGGAGTGGCTGGAGAGGAGTGACAGGAGATATATGTGATAAAAGGGTAATTGCAAGAGTAAAAGGTAAAGTTTACCTGCTATGTTGTAAGGTTCAGAAACTGTTCCACTCACAAAAATACAAAAGGCAGAGCTGGAGATGGCAAAGATGAAGATGCTGCAGGTTGTTCGGATGTGACAAGGATGGACAGGATAAAGAATGAGTATATTTGATAGAAAGCACAGCTAGGAAGATTTGGGAACACGGTGAAAGTGGCTGGAGAGGAGTGACAAGAGTTCTTTGTGATAAAAAGGTACCTCAAATAGTAAAAGGTAAAGTTTACCTGCCATGCTGTACGGCTTAGAAATTGTCCCACTAACATAAATACAGTAAACAAAGCTGGAGATGGCAGAGATGAAGATGCTGAAGATTTCTCTGTGCTGGACAAGGATGGACAGGAAAAAGAATGAGTACATTACAGGGATAACAGGTAAAAATTTGAAAACGTACTGAGAGAGGCGAGAATGAGATAGTTTGGGAGTCATCTAATGAGGGATAAGGAGTACATTGGGAGAGGCCTGCTGAGGATGGAGCTACAAGGCAGAAGGGGGAGAAATAAGCCAAAAAGGGGATTCACAGATGTGATGAGGGAAGACATGAGGGTGTGTGATGTGACAAAGAAGGACGCAGAGGACAGGGGGATATGGAGAGAATTGAGCCACTGTATTGACCCTACTGGGAGAAGCCCAAATATTTGATAATATATATATATATATATATATATATATATATATATATATATATATATATATATATATATATATATATATATATATATATATATATATATATATATACATATATACATATATATATATATATATATATATATATATATATATATATATATATATATATATATATATATATATATATATATATATATATATATATATATATATATATATATATATAACCAAATAAGCACATTACATATGTGAAAACGTGAATCATTTTTACCCCGACCGGGACTTGAACCTGGGATTTATATTTACTAAGCCAAGTTACTACCAACTACACCACAGAAGGTTAAAGGAAAACAAACCTTTCAGCTTATATCTGCTATATTAGGAATGAACGCATTCTATCTGAGTGCCACTATGTTTATATTATAGTTTCCCCAACCTCACTCATAGTTTCGTTTTCGCATTTAATTCAACTCCCAATCTCATTCGGGACCATCAACCCCGACCGGGACTTGAACCTGGGACTTATAATTACTAATGTAATGCAATGTAATGTAATGTGCTTATTTGGTCATAGTTGGTCCCGAATGAGATTGGGAGTTGGATTAAATGCGAAAACGAAACCACGAGCGAGTATGCGGAAACTGTAATATGAACATAGTGGCACTCAGATAGAATGCGTTCATTCCTAATATTGCAGATATAAGCTGTAAGGTTTGTTTCCCTTTAACCCTCTGTGGTGTAGTTGGCAGCACCTTGGTTAAGTAATTATAAGTCCCATGATCAAGTCCCAGTCGGAGTAAAAATAATTCATATTTTCACATATGTAATGTGCTGATTTGGTTATTGTTGATCCCGAATGAGATTGCGAGTTGAATTAAATGCGAAAACGAAACCACGAGTGAGGTTGGGGAAACTGTAATATGAACATAGTGGCATTCATAGAATGCGTTCACTCCTAATATAGCAGATATAAGAGGTAATGTTTGCTTCCCTTTAACCCTCTGTGGTGTAGTTGGTAGCACCTTGGCTTAGTAATCATAAGTCCCAGGTTCAAGTCCAGGTCGGGGTAAAAATGATTCATGTTTTCACATATGTAATATGCTTATTTGGCTATTGTTGGTCCCAAATGAGATTGGGAGTTGAATTACATGCGAAAACGAAACCACGAGTGAGGTTGGGGAAACTGTAATATGAACATAGTGGCATTGAGATAGAATGCTTTCATTCCTAATATAGCAGATATAAGCTTTAAGGTTTGTTTCCCTTTAACCTTCTGTGGTGTAGTTGGTAGCGCTTAGGCTTAGTAATTAAAAGTCCCTGGTTCGAGTCCTGGTCAGGGTAAAAATGATTCCTGTTCTCACGTATGAAATGTGCTTATTTGGTTATTGTTGGTCCCGAATGAGCTTGGGAATTGAATTACATGCGAAAACGAAACCACGAGTGAGGTTGGGGAAACTGTAATTTGAACATAGTGGCATTTACATAGAATGCATTCATTCCTAATATGGCAGATATAAGCTGAAAGGTTTGCTTCTCTTTAACCTTCTGTAGTATAGTTGGTAGCGCCTTGGCTTGGTAGTTATAAGTCCCAGGTTCAAGTCCTGGTTGGGGTAAGAAATGATTCATATATATATATATATATATATATATATATATATATATATATATCTATATATATATATATATATATATATATATATATATATATATATATATATATATATATATATATATATATATATATATATATATATATACATATAAGTGAGTAGTCTCCGTGGCAAAATGGTAGCGTCTGCGACTCTGAGGCGGCAGGTCGAAGGTTCGCCCCCCGTCACGGACTGAGGTTAGTAAGGGCAAAACCACGGGGTAGCGATTACATCTGCCAAAACAAGTCCTTTGCAAGAAGGCAACAGTCCTAGCCTGTAGTAGAAAAGGGAGTTCGTGACGTAAAACGGAATCCATATATATATAGGGGGGGGGGGTGTGTGTGATTACCTAATTGTGATTAACTAATTGTGTTTACGGGAAAGAGCCCAAAGCTCGTATCTTCCCGTGTCCTGATCGGTTCCATTTTATACTTAGTGATACTTATCATACCTGTCCTTAAAACTATGGATTGAGATAGCATTAACTACCTCCTCGCTTAGCCAATTCCAATTATCAACTACTCTTACATTGAAAAAGTATTTCCTTACATCCTGCAAAGAAGTTTTCTTACGAAGCTTCAAACTATGACCTCTAGTTCTAGAGCCAGCCATATCAAAATATCGATCCCTATCCACTCTATCATAACCATGAAGGAATTTAAAGACTGTCACCATATCCCCCCTCACTCTTCTAGCTTCGAGTGATGGTAAGTCTAATTCCCTCAGCCTCTCATCATAACTGAGATTGCGTATTTCTGGCACCAGTTTCGTGGCATGTCTTTGAACTTTTTCAAGCTTAGCTATGTGCTTTTTCAAGTGCGGATTCCAAAAGGGGGCTGCATATTCGAGTTTTGGCCTCACATAGGTTACATAAATATTTCTGAACATTTCCTTGTCCATGTGCCTGAAGGCTACCCTTACATTTGATAAGAATGCATATGCTGCCCTTACTATGCCATTTATATGTATTTCTGGAGACAAATCTGCCAGTATGTTTACTCCTAGATCTCTCTCATTTTCTGTCTCTTGAAGTTGTACTCCAGCCACCGAGTAGTCAAGCTTGGGCCTTCTTGCACTTGTACCCATTCTCATTACCTTACATTTTGAAGTATTGAATTTCATTAGCCACTTTTCTGACCACTCATGCAGATTATTTAGATCCTCCTGAAATTCTCTACCATTGTTCTCGTTTTTTACTTTCTTCACAATCTTTGCATCATCTGCAAACATATTCATGAATGAATTTACAGACTCTGGTAGGTCATTTATATAAGGAACACCGCTTAGCGAATTCCATTTATCAACTACTCTTACACTGAAAAAGTATTTCCTTACATCCTGCAAAGAATTTTTCTTACGAAGCTTCAAACTATGGCCTCTAGTTCTAAAGCCAACCATATCAATATATCGATCCCTATCATTCTATCATAACCATGAAGGAATTTAAATACTGTCACCATATCCCCCTCAATCTTCTAGTTTCGAGTGATGGTAACTCTAATTCCCTCAGCCTCTCATCATAACTGAGATTGCGTATTTCTGGCACCAGTTTCGTGGCATGTCTTTGAACTTTTTCAAGCTTAGCTATGTGCTTTTTCAAGTGCGGATTCCAAAAGGGGGCTGCATATTCAAGTTTTGGCCTCACATAAGTTACATAAATATTTCTGAACATTTTCTTGTCCATGTGCCTGAAGGCTACCCTTACATTTGAAAAGAATGCACATGTTGCCCTTACTATTCCATTTATATGTATTTCTGGGGAGAAATCTGCCTCTATATTTACTCCTAGATCTCTCTCATTTTCTGTCTCTTGAAGTTGTACTCCAGCCACCGAGTAGTCAAGCTTGGGCCTTCTTGCACTTATACCCATTCTCATTACCTTACATTTTGAAGTATTGAATTTCATTAGCCACTTTTCTGACCACTCATGCAGACTATTTAGACCTTCCTGAAGTTCTCTACAATTGTTCTCGTTTCCTACTTTCTTCACAATCTTTGCATCACCTGCAAACATATTCATGAATGAATTCACAGACTCTGGTAGGTCATTTACATATACAAGGAACAAAAGTGACCCTAAAACTGAACCCTGTGGAACTCCACTACTAACTCTTCTCCATTCAGACACTGAGTGTCTTACTCTAACCCTCTGTTCCCTTCCTTCTAAGTAAGTTTTTTTCCATTCCAAGACATTTCCACCTATTCTAGCCATTGCTTAGGATAGTGTCAAAGGTGGTGCTGCGAATGGGTACTCTTAATGTGGGGACGATGACTGGGAAGGGGCGAGAATTGGTGGACCTGATGGAAAGGAGGAGAATTGGAGTGCTGTGTGTGCAGGAGACCAGGTGGAAAGGAAATAAGGTGAGGGAACTGGGTGAGGGTTGCAAATTGTTCTATAGTGGAGCAAATGAGGAAGGGAGGAATGGGGTAGAAATAATACTATCCAAAGGCCTGAAGGGAAGCTTACTTGGTGTGAATAGAAAGAGTGACAGAATTATGAGTTTAAAGCTGGGACTGGGAGAAACGGTAGTCAATGTGGTATGTGCCTATGCCCCACAAACTGGTTGTACAGCGGAGGTGAAGGATGCATTTTGGGAGGAGATGGACCAGGAGCTTAGAACAATTCCTATAAGGGAGAGGGTAATTTTGGGAGGAGATCTAAATGGCCACTTGGGAATTGGGAGGGCTGGGAGAGGTAGAGTTCATGGGGCTGGGGGATGGGCGAGAGAAATGAGGGGGGAGAGACAGTGATTGATTTTGCAGTGGCATTTGATCTGGCATTGGTCAACACATTATTTGAGAAATAGGAAAACAGATTGATAACATACAGTAGTGGTGGAAGGGAGAGCCAGATAGATTAATTGTTGTGTAGGAGAGACCATCTGAAGGAGATTAGCAACTGTAAAGTAATAAATGGGGAGAGTGTAGCAATGCAACATAGGCTAGTAGTAACTGACTGCAGGCTCAGGAAATGTAGGAAAAGTAAGAAGCAGAGGATGGACCCAAAAATAAAGTGGTGGAGATTGAAAGATGCAGAGCTGAGAGCTATGTATCAGGGAAGAGTGTAAGAAGCGATAAGGTTGCATGAAGATGTACAAGAATGGTGGCCAGAGAATAGTAAGGTGATTTTGAGGGTTGGTGAGGAGGTACTTGGAAAGTCATCAGGAAGGATACCTCCAAATGATAAAGAGTCATGGTGGTGGAATGAGGAAGTGCAAGAATGGGTGAAGAACAAGAAAGAAACTAAGAAAGCGGCAGATTTATCAGGCCTGGAGCAGGATAAAGAAGAGTACAAGCAGGCAAAGAAGGAGGCAAGGAGAGCAGTAGCAAAAGCAAAGGTAGAGAAATTGAATGAAGTCTATGAAGAGCTGGAAACACCAGAAGGAGAGAAGAAAATATGGCGAATTGCCAAGGCCCGAGATGCTGCAACCAAGGACTTGACCCAAGTAAGACAAATAAAGGATAACTATGGAGTAGTTCTAGCAGAAGAGGATGAAATAAAAAGCAAATGGGAAACTTACTTTGAAGGATTACTAAATGAAGAGAACCCAAGAGCAGTATTTGAAGATGGACTTCCAAATGAAGCAGTTACAACAACAGTGGCTAGAAGAGAGGTAGAGTGGGCAGTAAGGAAAATGAAAAATAGAAAGGCAGCAGGACCTGATAAGATGCCAGTGGAGGTATGGAAGAGTCTTGGAGAGAAAGGCATAGATATCTTGTGGGACTTAATGCAAAAGATCTTTAGTCAGGAAAAGATGCCAGAGGAATAGAGAGGAAGCTTAATCATCCCAATTTATAAAGGGAAGGGAGACATTCAGGAGTGTGGAAACTATAGAGGTATAAAGTTGTTAAGTCATACTATGAAGATATGGGAGAAGATCATGGAGAGGAGACTCAGAGAGGTAATGACAATTGGAGATGAACAGTTTGGCTTCATGCCTGGAAGAGGGACAGTGGATGCCATATTTGCCTTGAGACAAATGATGGAAAAGCATAGGGAGAAACAGAAAGGACTGCATATGGTCTTTATTGACCTGGAAAAGGTATATGATCGAGCACCATGTCAAGAGGTGTGGAGGTGAATTAGAGAAAAGGGAGTCCCCGAGAAATATGTAAGAATCATCCAAGATATGTATGAGAGGGCAAAGGCAAATGTTAACAGCAGTGTGGGCTTGACGAAAAGTCTCTCAGTAATGTTAGTCTGCATCAAGGGTCTGCTTTGAGTCCATATCTATTTGATCTAGTCTTGGAGGTATTAGAGATCAGTCTCCATGGTGTATTCTCTTTGCAGATGACATTGTACGGTGTAGCAACAGACGAGAGGTAGTGGAGGAGAAGCTTTAGGAGTGGAAAAGAGTGATGGAGGATAGAGGACTGAAAATCAGCAGGAAGAAGACAGAGTACTTGAGGTTGAGAGATGATGAGGATGGGGGGGGGGGTCAATTTGCAGGGGAAGGTGTTGAAAAGAGTTGATAAGTTCAAGTATTTGGGATCAACAGTAGCAGAGGATGGTGACCTAGAGTCAGAAATAACCCACAGAATACAAGCGGATGGAAGAACTGGAAGAAAGTGTCTAGGGTGCTGTGCGACAGGAGACTAGGGATTAAGTTGAGGGGTAAAGTGCATAAGACAGTTGTGAGACCTGCGATGATGTATGGAGCAGAGACATGGGCACTAAAGAAGACACAAGAG